TAACCTGGTTTCGCACCTTGCACACGGTAGCAATAGACGGTAGCAATAAACGACTTTATAAGTATAATATGAAGCTGTCGCGCGAAGACGGGTGAAAAATATCAGCAACAATGACATTATTTACTGTTGTGTCTCATGTCTGTATTCGCGTAATTCCTCCGACACAGTCGATTCTACCTACAATAATATGATCTACGTGCTTCTCATTTTTGCCTCCATTTTACGTATATAAAAAATCGTTTGTTATTCTTGTAAATAATGAGATAATAATATAAAGATTAGAGAAATTCACAGATAAAAAAGAAAAACATTGTAGATGAGATACAGCTGATAATTTCATTTCTTAAAAATTATTTTGGTATAAAATATTAGGTACATCAATGAGAGAATATACTTTCTAATTCTTTATGTATATTTTTATATTTAATATTATACTTTATATGTTTATAATTTCTAAAAAATTTTTAATATACACGGAGAGCATTTTTTTTTAAAGTTTACTTTGAAAATATGGTAGTCGTGGAACAACATTATATTTCAAAAAATTTTATATTTTAGTAAATCTCTCTCATTCAGTAATAAAACTATAATATAAATTAATTTTACTGAAATGCATGGTAAAAATCTTTAAAATATTGTATTATAATTACATAATAATATTTTTCAGGATAAATTAAAAAAAATTGTGTATATAATATTTATATACATATATAAATGTTTTTTAAATTCGATTAACCAAATATTATTACTTATAGATTTATTTTTGCGGATGAAACTTTAAACTTTCTTTCTTGAGGCAAAAAAATAATTACAAAATACTCTTCAATGTACTGGTACTCATATTATCGCGGTAAGGAGTTTTTATCACGTTCTACGTGTTTAGCACCGCGTGAAAACTGACCATGTCTGCAAAAATTCGACGAAGAAGAGATGCAATAATACGTTCATGATATACTGTGTCACTGATATAGCATGCATTATATCTCGCTTTTATAGACTCAACACAAACATTTATATTATAATAATAAATCTTTTCAGTCCATTTTCTTGTGAAATTATCATTAGTCATATCTTTCAAGAAAGATAGACTGAATGACTATAAAAAATAAAAAACGTATAAAGAAATAATGGAAAAGATAAAAATGTATATATAAAAAAAAAGATTGTTAAAAAGATCACTTTCAGGAATAGTTGATTTAAGGAAAATGTATGAAAGAAGAGAAAATTTAAATTTCTCTTATTAAAAATTTTAGAAAACTTTTTTTAATTCTTAAAGAGTATAACTTTTTCTTATTAAATTTAATTTAATAATTGAAGAATATATTATAAATTTAATTAAATTAAAAAATTAATGTTTCACACACACATGCACATTAAGAATTTAATTTCATTCAATATTATATTCTTTATTTTATATTAATATTTTTTATATTAATCTTTAACTTGACTTAACAATAAATCATAGTTTGTATTGATTTAATTAAATTCTATTAACTTAAGACATAAACTTTGTTTGTAATTTTATAGAATACAAAATGAAATATATTCATTAAAAATTCATAAATTATATTTTATTTCATCGGTTCATAGATAAAATTATATCATAAGCAGTATGCAAATATATGTACATAATACCCATATTACCCATATACAGTAAAAAAATATTTGCAGAAATCAAAATATCTGCATATTACGACGCATTAGTAACGTTGCACGAAAATAAATGCAGTGTTTAACTTTTCCAAGATAATATGAAATATACGCAGATATTTTTCACATATACTTGAAACGATATACACGTTCATAATTCAAGTGTTGCACCTGCGAAGCATAAATTGAATGATAAGGAGATAACAAATACGTAGTTCGTGAACGTAAATCCGTTTTTTAAATTTTAAGGTACATCTGCGATCATGTCGTAATACACCACACACAATGTCTGTCTAACAATGATCTAATGAATTGAAATAGAGCCAGATATACATTGATAAACGTTTTCGCATGATTATTCAATTAACAAGTTGAACAGCTTATTTGCAAGTGAGAAACAGAACTAAAAAAATTAGATATAATTTTAATCAAATTGTTGAAAGCAATTTAAATTTCAATAAAAATTCTATTATTGTATTACAATATTTTAGCAATAATATTTTTATGGTGTTTAACTATGTATAAAAATAATTAGAAAGACACAAACATATAAAAGATAAATTTAAAGTAAATACAGCGGAAAGTATTTATTATACATTTAAATAAATTATTTTTATTTTCATGAAAAAAGAAAAAATTTTTAAAAGAAAGAATTTTTCAATTTATGTATCCTATATAATTAATATAAATGTATATACGTAATTTTTATAATAATAATATATT